TATATATATATGATGAGGTATACTATACAATGCATTGAGTACTCAAGTAGGTTAGCAAAGCACTATATAAGAGCCAGTCCATTTACCAGGCAGCGATCGAGATGAGATTCATAAGAATTTAGTGATTCCAACTCCATTATCGATATCGGTTGTTGATTAGTTTACTTATCGATTCTCTTATCGACTTTCATTAGGTTCTCACTGGCTGCACTTTGAGAGTGGCCACCATTGTTAAGCAGCATATCAAAGATATGACATTCATGTATTCGTTCTTTTTGTGCATGCTGTGTGGTCAAATGTTTCTGCATGTTCAAGGTATTTCAGCTCTTTGTTATGATCAGTGTTGGCGTTATTGCTCAAAAAAGTAATGTAGTGCACATATTACCCGGAACACTTAAGTGATGCAGTATGTTACTTTACAAAACAACCTGAAACGCATTGTCTCATAATTGTCAGTTAACAATATAAACCTGTAGACTACAGTTCCACACACACTCCCTTGGTACATTTCCTACAATCAGCAGACTATTGCACAAGTTCAGATAGAACCGATAGGCAAGGAGAACAACAATTTCAAGGAACTAAAGTACTAGGAGCTGGTTCTTTACAAGAACCGGTTCTCTATTCCCATGCCTCATAAAGCTGATTAAAAGTCCAGGTTTGTGAAAGTCATTACAAATCATCCTGAGAGTGTAGATTTGCCAAATTTCATTATAGTTCAGGCACTAAGACTAAGACTAAGAATTTTGTGCCAACCCACCCATGGGATGTGTGATTGGACTTTGGTGGTACTATTAGTAAGGTTATGTTTTCTGGAGTTATATAATTTATGGAGTTATATAATGTGTTAGAAAAGGCTTATTATTGTCCTGAGAACATGGGTATATTCTCCAAGTTTTACTCCAGTCTTAATCTGCAAAAACCGCAAAGATCAGGTGGTGTTACTACAGGAAAAACAATGCTGATCATCAGAGTTAGTGGGTTTTATCTTCATCCAACATGCTTGTTTGTAAAACATTTAATAACAAGACAAGTTGTTTAAGTCTGAGCCACTACAGTGCTGAGAAATCATTGAAACCAGTTTAAAATAATGTGACCTCACTATCTCTCTCTTATTTTCCTTTCCTCAGATTGTCACCGATTTTGTCTTCTTATGTCCATCGAGGAGGTCAGCACGTGCTGGCACAGCAGCGGGGAGCAAGGTCTGGATGTATGTTTTTGACCATGTGATCTCGGACCGCAGTGTCTGGTCAGGTCTCACTTTCTGCTATGAGCATTCCTGCCATGGTGCAGAGCTGCCCTTTCTTTTTCATTCAGCCTCTGTGGCCAACTTCACCCTGTCACCGTCGGAGAAGCTGCTGTCCAGTCGAATGCTGTGCTACTGGGGTGCCTTCGCTCACACTGGCGACCCTTCCTCCAGGAGCCAACAGACAACTTTCTGCCGGGAGAAGCGTCTCCCTATCTGGCCGCGCTATTCTGACACCAGTGGCTTTCTGGTCATGAACCTCACTGTGCGTTCCCATACACAAGCCGGGACCAGAAACCATATATGTGATTTCTGGGACCAGCTGGGCATCTACTAGAGAGGGACCAGGCTGGGCATGCTGTTCTTTTGTTGAAGCTAGATTCAAAAGAATGGCTCTTTTCCCTGCATTGTTTTGTTTCTAAAAGTAGGATATGTAGATGTCTGCTCTAGCTTTGCTCTAGAGACGGGCAAGTT